TCTTAAAATAAACAAATCCAAGAACCAAATCCAAATCCTATCCACAAACCCAAACCCAAACCCAAATCTTAAATCCCAAATCCAAACCAAATCCAAATCTTATACCCCAAATCCAAACCAAATCCAAATCCAAATCCCAAGTACTCGGGCATAGGTGCAATCCTAAGTTCAAATCCAAACCCAAATCCAAATCCAAAGCATTTGGTCACAAATCCCAAATCTATACAAGATTTGTTGCACCCCTATTTCCGACCATACAAGACGTTGTTGATATATGAATAAAGATTGTAAATGAATAATGTATCGTTATAATCAATAAATAGTGAACATTATTATTTGATATATAGACGATTAACTTAAATGATTAATCAAGAAATTTATTCTAAAATAGAATAAATAACTAAACATCTTGTGATTATCAAGATCAAAAGTATCGTGTTTCACATTTAAATCCCACAAGGATAACACTAATAGCTTTTAGATCGATGAATGTATCTTATTTCATTTTATTCATACAATTAACAATGAATCGGAAAAAAAATTGTTGTCGAAATTTTTTTTTTATTGATATTTAATTTATTTGATATAAAAACTAACGAATTGTAATGTGATAAATAAATATAATTGGAAAATAATTTTCTATTTTATCTCGTTTTATATTTCAAAAATGTCTATATGAATAAAAAGTTGCCTGAACATAAATAATATTATTTATTCAATTATAAATCAATGTATTATCTGTATGATGAAATAGAGTCAAGAATAAAATGGTCATCTATTATAATTTAACTTTGATAAATTATTTTTTATAATGAAATACAAATAACAAAGAGATAAACGAATTATTTACGATTGTCGATGAAAGTAACTTTGAAAACAATATTAATAGATTGATATAAATTATTTTTACAGTTTGTCTTGACATTTTCTAAATAATATTCAATTATGTTTTAGATAAGATACGATCGAACATGAATTGTTAGTAAAATATGTTCAATATAAATATAATTATTTTGATTAATCGTATTATATATTATATATAGAATAATGTTATTAAACGAGAATCTATTTTTTCTCAATAGTATTATTATAATATTAATATATTATTCAATATTTCTTTTCTTTTCTCGTTTCATCTTTTTTATTTGTTCTCTTACGTTTTTCTTTTTTATTATGATTATTATTATTATATCATATAATCTCCTATATATATTTAATATAATTTGTCACAAAATAAAAAAAAAAAGTCAAAATATGTCATTTAATAACATGTTTATTATCTTACTGCTCGTTCTGACGCACTTGCAATTAGCCTATAATCTCACTTGTATTGGAAAAACTTCGTTGACAATTCAGCGAAGTGAATTAAATTCAAACAATAATTCATTTATAGTGGAAAAATTTCTGAATAAAACAATTAATTCATATGATAAAAGTAACAGCATGTGTTATATAACAATACATATTGATTACAATAAGATAAATGATTATATTATTATTGATTTTGGTCAATATACAAATAATACATATAATTACTTAAGTATTGAGACATTGTTTACATTGGTCAAAGAATATAATGTAACTATTAGTAATATTGAATATATGTGTTTATCGTATGATTTTTGTGATAAAAACTTTATTAATAAATGGATTTATTATTTGATCAATATTAATTATGAAATATTGCAGGACAAACTCAGTTATATATTAATATCAAAAAATCCATCAAATAAATGTTATATTGGGGAGAAATTTCTTGAATGTCTTAACGGTATGTGCATCGCTTCGTTTAATACAAACTTCGGTCCTGTCGGATTTGGAACAGATTGTGAATATAATATGTCGTTGAAAAATGCAACATTACACGTTAAAATTCAGAGCATAGATTTTCAACCAATGCACTATTCAATACTTGAATATATTTGCACCTCATTTGAATGTAATGGAAATTTATCATTTAATAATATATGGAATAAAACAAAAATGTTTTTCAACTTTTCAAAACGTATAACTGACTGGTTATTTATTAGAAATAATATGAAACAAATACTCGATCATTCATTTAACAAAATGAAAAAGAAAAAGAAAATTTTATCTAATGATAATTCAACATCACTTAATCAGTATTCAACACCATCTAATGATTATTTTTCATCAGTATCAGTTGCGGCATTATCTTTTTCTATTATTGTTATTATTTTTATTTCTATTTGCTATTGCTTTTTATCCTACAAAAATTCTCAACAATATTCACCAACAGCAACAACAATAACTACATAAATATTTTTTATTGTTGATTATCTATAATAGATAATATTTATTTCTGTTACAAACAAATTCAATGTATTATATGAATAAATTAGATTTTTAATCAATCAATGATTTTATATCATCATATTTCATGATCAAAAACAATCGACTTTTTCGTTTTCTCTAATATAATATAGTTGACTGTTAAAAAATATATTTATTTTCAATAAAATAAACCATTTTAAATTTAACTATGAGAAATAGAGGACAAACATGACAAATATCTATTTTAACACATTTCAAAACTATATTTTAATTATACTCTTCAACTTTTTATTTTTGTTTCAAATTGATTATCAACGTTTGTGACAGGTATATTTATTTGATTTCATTTAAAATAGATCTATAGATATATAACCCTTGAATAGTTCATATAACTTCAATATTTGATTATCAATCAAATACAATCTTATATTTTACCTTTATTAACGAACAAACTCATATTAAATAAAATAAAACTAATATCATCGTTAAATATCTTTATAATAAACTTAAAATAACTTTAAATATCTATAGAATATATATTGAAAATATTCTTTGGCTATGTCCAACTAGAATCAACATAATTAATATATCACTTTTCCTTCTTGTCTATCACTCACTCTCTATAGACTATTTATTACATATTGACATATATATATATATAATCAAGTTCATAAAAAATCTATGATTTTTTCGTTTTATCACCGTATTAATTTTTATATTAGTATCGATGATTTATTTTTTATTGAAAAATGTTTTTCTATTACTAAACAGTCAACCTTTAATATACAAGCAAATACAATGATGAAAAAATCTATGAAATTATATTTTATTCTTAGAATTTTAGTGAAATTAGTATAATAAAATGCCTTTTTGTCCTGTTTACTTTTATCATATTAGCAAAGCAAATGTAAATGTTTAATAATGTTTTTACATATATAATGATCACCTATATATACATGTATAATATATAAAAGAGTAATAAATTATTGCAAGGAAAAAAATCTATCTATGTTATATTAATTGTCATTCAAGAACGGTGATGATACAATTAATCTAGAAAAAAAATAGGCAAATTTATCTTGAAATAATTAATTAGTCCAGAAAATGATGAAACTGGACTCGTTTTTCTTCCGACTTAACAGTAAGAAGAAATTATGTCGGAAAAAGCTCATTAACACATATCATCTGAAATTCGAGGAAAATATCTCGATTGGATATGTTACAAAGAAAATGGATGTATTCTCTCATTGTTTATGTGTTTACTAATAAACAGTGTACACTGTGATAAACAAGCACAATAATATTATACTTATTTATATCTAATATAATATATATAGAAGAATATACAGGGTGGCCCATGAAGAACGCGGCGATACAAAATTCAAATATCTTCACTACAGTTCAATCAAATAGACTAATTTTTTGGCTAGTGGTAGAGCTTTATTCGAAATTTTTTTTTTCCATACAGATAATGTAAGCAAATATTTCTATTAAGTATTATTGTTGACCTCAATAAAGAAATTTTATCTGTTATCAAGTGAGAAAAATACGTGTTAAGCGTTTACTAAATCATTTTTAGTTCTTACTTAAGAGAACAGCAAGAAGAAATCAAAACAAACCTTATGAATGATACAGCATTGATACAAATGGACCAAATTTTCACAACTAGCTTGTTTAAAAGTCAATGATTACAAAATTTCGAATTTTCAACTATGGAACACTGATTTTTTTGAGGAAGCTGGCGATTAGGTGTCCAAAGGACTTTAATTGTACGTTTTAGTTTTCGCATATGAATTTTAGCATTTCAACAAGCTAGTTGTGAAAATTTGGTTTATTTGCATCAATGTTGTATCATTCATAAGGTTTGTTTTGATTTCTTCTTGCTGTTCTCTTAGGTAAGAACTAAAAATTCTTTAGGAAACGCTTAATATGTTTTTTTCTCAGTTGATTACAGAAAAAAATTCTTTATTGAGGTCAACAATAATACTTAATAGAAGTATCAATAAATCAGCCCATTTGATTGAACTGGAGTGAAGATATTTGAATTTTTTATAGCCGTGTTATTTATGGGCCATTCTATATATATTATCGATTCATGTATCATTGATATATTCACTCATTATCAATGTCAATCAAATAACATTTATATATGGTCTATTTTAACAAATATTTTATAATAGATTAATACACAAGAAAAACTCAATCATATTAACAGTTAGTTCGGTAGTTTCTTTATCAATCTTTATACATTTACCTAATCTTATTATACGAAATAAAATAAATGCATATATATATACATTATTAAATAATAGATGTAACACAATTATAACTTATTTATAGTAGCGAACGAATATTAACATTGAATATTCATTTATTCATATTGATAAATTTAAAAAAATACATAATTAATCAATATTTCTATTAATCATTGAATATAATTAAAGAGAACATATTTAATATAATATTTTATTTATAATTTATATGAGTAAAGGTATAAAATGATATTCATCTTGTAAAACATATTATGACCATTAATTGAAATTACATTTAGGAGAATAGTTTGATAATTTATCATCTATGTTATATGTAGATCGACTATTTAATTCATATGAAATTCGAAACCTTATTTTTGCTTTTGTTAAATAATAATATTGGTTTATCGTAGGGGTGTAACAAATCTTGAACGAATTTGGGATTTGTCACCAAATCTTTGAGGTTTGGACTTGGATTTGGATTTGGCTTTGGATCTTAGATTTGAACTTGGGATTTGTTTTCAATCTAACATGACTCCAACTTTGCATTCGTGCTACACTGGAACCAAATCTTCATTCCAAATCCAAATCTAAGACCCAAATCTAAACAATTTGATATGAATTTATAAGACCTGAGATTCTTTTCTCCCTTGTGGGACTTTATTTTACAAAGTCTCATCAAATTTGGGTAATTTAAGACCAAACCTAAATCCAAATCCAAATCTGAGTGGAGAAAAAATCCAAACCTATTTTCACCAAATCCCAAGGCCTTGGATTTGTTGCACCCCTAATTTATCGTAAGGCAAAGTTAACATAGTTATGGACTAACTGATTAATATTTTTGACTATGAAAATTAATTCTTTTTCAATAAATATATTCTTGTTTGATATGTATATGTTTTATTTATTTTCGTTCTGCTTGTTTCACAATTTTATATCGCAACATAATAATTTGCTTATGTTAACTATTTGAATAAAATATATATGTGAAAAAATAATTGACTGATATCTAATGTGTTTATTTAAACAGAAAAGAAAAAATATATGATAAACTGTTTTTTTTAAATAAAATAATAAAGTACGTATTTAAAGACTTGTTTATATCTTAAATGATAAATAGTATCGATGAACATCATCGTACTCAATTCAAGTTAAGATAGATAATGCTTTATATTGACCAATACCAAACGGAACATAGTTTAACATATCTCTGTTTATTGTACTAATAAATGATCCCTTTTTTCATTTTCAAATAGAAACAAGAACATTTTATTGAGTAGAAGATTTTGATAGATCATCCGTATCATGTACTTAATCAAATTCTCTCTCAAAATAAAAATCTAAGATTGCTTATTTAAGAGGAAATATATAGTAATTGCAACGATTTTCATGATTAATCTTATTTTGACATACATAGCAGTGTTCTATTTTCATTTCGAATTGACAAGTGTCCAACAGTCTTTTAATGTTTATAACATCAATTCACATATTGTACAGATATAGACAGTGACTCGGTTTTTCTATAGAGATTTTTTTATTAATTAAAATAATTATTTCCATATAAGAATAGATTTAAGTCATTTTCAGTATTTTGCATTACTTAACTAAAAGATTTCCATTCAAATGAAAAAAAAAAACAAAATAGATTAAACGATAGAGAATTTCACGTTCGTTTTATTTCTAAAAAATTCTTTCTTGTCAAAGTCGATCTTTAACGGCAATATCTGGTTTTAGTGAAAATAGGTGAAAACACACGAATAAATAAAATAGTTCAAATCCATTCGTATAAAAATCTATAAATTAAAAATAAAGTATGATAAATAATCGAATAAATAAGCTTTAAGTTAATAATTGTTAAATAAAATATTGTCGCTTTTGAAATATATATTTAATACTTAAATATTCAATGATAATATTATTGCTAAAAAGAATGTTAATATTTAATGTTAAACATTTATTATCTCTCTTTGAAAAAGATGTCAACTTAGTATATATGATAATTTATTACAATGTAGATTTGGTCACAATGATGATAAATAAAAACAAAAAAAAAGAAAATCTTCTTAGCATGATTAATAAAACAGACGAGAAATATTATAGAATATATGAAACACTTTATTTCAAGAACAATAAACATAACATAAGATTATATATATGAATGTTTATTACATCATGCTGATTGATGATCATTAATCATAATAGAAGAATAAGTAGGAGACGATTTAGAAATTTTTCTTTATTTTTAAGTTTTTCTCTGCTGCGATTTCTGCTTTTTTTCAATCAATATTATTTTCGTCTGTTCGTAACATGTTGACAAATTTACAATTTGACTATTAAAATTATTCAATCGGTCTTCTGTATGCTATTGAATAACATATCTACAAAATGAGCTTTGTGGAAAATAAAATATGAATAACTCTTCTATCAAATATTCAATCAATGTTGTGCTCTATTCATTTTCCTAACGCCTATTTTTCTCTACGATCGATTGACGTTGTTCCACTGTTGTTCAAACAAATTTCACTTTATCGTCAAATTGATTGTAATCGTTAAGTTATTGGAAGATTTTTTTTTCTTTTGATATAGTCACTGAATATTAAATGTTCTTTGCCATATTATTAACATTGTATATGTCAACTATATAAATAATTGACAAGATTTATTTCAATATTAAAGAAGAGTGTTCCTATTAAGGTAAGCAATAAATCCCTTCAAATCGTAACTTATAAAAAATAATAATAATACTTTTCTAAATAAAATACGCCTATTTAATTGTTTAAATAGTTGAGTTGTTGGTAACAATATTTCATTTATTTTTTATTTAATGTGACTAATAGAAGTGCAAGAGTTCTAATTCTAAATAACTGGTTAAACAGTTGATGATGAGTGAATTTATAGGAAACTATTAGAGTCTTATTAACTATTTAGTTATTTTAAATCTATTATTATTAAAAGATAAAAGATGATAATATAACTATTTTAAATATTTAATAACTATTTGATTTAAATGGTAAATTTATTTATTGGATAATTTCGGTGAATTTTCCTTAATTGAATAATGCTATTTAAAAACAAGTATTAATGAACAATTAATTGTAAGGTAGACGTATCATAATAAACCATTATTTTATATAATAATTGACTAATAGGAATTAATCCTAATTGAAGAATTTTTTCTCGATTACTCAACGTGAAGATTTATATTGTTTTCAATCATTGAAGTACTCAGTATTATCATCATCATTTTTTATTTAAACTAGGCAAACAATTAGGTGACTGTCGCTCTTTCTCTTTTCTATTCATATACTTTTTTCATAATTTGTTTCGTCTTACTTAAAAGAAATCAGTTATGATTTTAGAAAAATCTTATTTAATTATCTAGAATAAATATTCTGCGATGCTGAAACAAGAGTGATTAATGAATATGCTAAGAAGAATAATGAAGTTAAATAAAACAAACTATATGTAAACATGATATAGATTGATAAATGAATAATTCCTATTAATTAGTTAAATACTGAAAAAGTCTAATTGAAAAAAATCTTTAAATCAGAAAGCTTTTTTCTTTTTCAGAATATCTTGTAAGATTGCTCTTGTTTTTATGATAACGACATATTGAACTCATTTTATTTGTTTGATGAATAAGACTTTGTGAAAATTTCTAAAATGTAAATAAATTTTGTCAATGATATTCATTATGATATTACTGTTGTGTACATGCATTGTCGAGAATGATGAATTAAAAAAAAAAAAAAAAAAGCTGCACTTTATTTATCTAGTCTCTCTATGTAATGATAAACATTTAGAAGATCAATTATTCTGTTGTCTATCATAATGATACTGAACTAACTTTTTGTTTTTAATTGAAATAGTTGATGATTGATAAAGTTTTTTGAAGAAAAAAAAACCTGGTCGTATGATCGAATATAATTTAACGTACTTTTTTTTCTATTATTTAGTTTGAAAATAAATAAATAAATGTCATCAATCATCTTATGGATTAATTAAGATAAAATATCATCTAGGTTATTATTTGTATGTTCATATTATAGAAATAAGTCTTTTACAATCATAACAATGATATTTTTGTTTTGAAATCATTAAAATATGAAATTATTTATTTATTAAAGTCTATTTTAATTAATATTATGAAAAAACAAAGATCAATATATTTAAACAAAAATACTCGTTACTTAATTATTTTTTTCTTTTAAATAAATAAGACAAATAAATATAGCAACGCAATTTTCATCAATAATCATTTGACTGAGCTTTAAATATAACTGTGGTAAATTTTTTACTTTTTAAACATTTTATTTGTTAACAACTAGATTGATAAAATAGAAAAATAACGTACTTTGCTCTTATTATAAATAAAATATCACAAAATTGAAAAATAAACTGAAAAATATTCTTCTAACTTCTAACATCATTTATTTATTTCTAATTAAGTTAAATCAATTGTTGTTAATATTGATAAAATTCTTATGATATAAATGTTTGATGAATTATTCGAGTTGATCATTCCGAAAGTCCATAATATTATCGTAAATAACTAAAGATTGATATGCTTACTGAATGAATTATGATAATATATCGTTATAATAGATGATCGAGTTTTATAGAATTAATTTTTGTTTATAAACGATCATCATTTATTAATACATGTCAAATCTGATAGTTCAATTCAACCATTCAACAATTGAATGACAAAAACACACACACATCATCTCTATTTCAATACTACAGAAACAGAACAGTTGAATATTTAAACAAGTCTTTCATAGTTGAACTCAACTTTCAGATTTGATACTACTTAATAACGATTGATTTTCTTCTACTTGGCGCATAGCAATAGTTTTTAAAATATAATATCAAAACAATAGAAAGATCTTGAATTAAAAGAAAGAGTAGTATTTAATTATTCTAATGCATCATACAGTAAACTAACTCAAGAAAGTCACTGCCAATTAGAATCATAGAGATATATAGATTCTCTCGAAGATTCAGTTGTCTGTTGACAACATCGAATAAAAATAGTTCAGTGACGGAAGAAAAGTATATTAAGACAAAGAAGGAATGTTAAAACAGCATAGAAGGAGAATTTGACAATGTTAGAAAAAACTTCGATCGATATAAAAATTGCAAACATATGTGTGACACTAGTGATATTTACCCAATATTTGATTATTTATTGACACGGTCTCTCTCTATTTAATTTGTCAATATAAGACGTCTGTTTTCTCTATTTTTACTCTCGACCAGGACGATATTCGATACCATATTTTTGTCTCAAATTACGCAATAATGTACGATTGAATGAACAACTAACTTTTTTACCACCTATAGGAAATCCTCCTTCTGCCCATTGCCTGCGTTCATGCACCAAATCTTCTGTCCACATATTGTTGCACCAGAAATAACCAGTTTTTCGTACAGTGACTAATTTACAAAAGTTTTTGTCATTTTCACATTGTTCTACAAATACTTGTCCATCCGGTGCGAGACTATCTTTTGGATTTACTGGTAATGAAAATCCTTGCATAATGAATTGCGCTGCCTGTTTTATCAATTTGACTAATTCAATTCTTCTAATTCCATCCCGTCTTTTATTGATTGGATAATAGAGACCTTTGATATATGGAGTACCTGCCGTTACATATTGTTCGAGAAACGATGGATAAGCGATAGGCGTAGTTTCTTTTTTATATGGATTCATGCCTCCAAGATTAATATTTATTGAACCATCAGAGAGAAATGTTTGATACATCTGACCTGTACCGGGTCCTGTAACATGAATATCCATATCACGCAAAATTTGTAATTGAGCGATAAAATCATTGTCCATCAATTCGTATGTTGGTGATCTAGTATCGACAGGAGTTGATTTAATTCGAAATGAAACATTAGTTTTTGCTTTTATATTACGATAATTGAGATAATAAACTCGAATAAGCGGATATGGTAATTTCTTAATATCGTCTACACTTTTATTGATGTGTGTATCAGTATAATTGTTGATTTCATCCATTGCTATTCGAATTTCTCCTCGTTCTTCTACTGTAAAACGTTTATTATCAATAATAAAAGCATTCAATGGCTTTGCTGCATTGCGCTTTTCTGCCGAATAATTTCGTCTAGCATCAGCAGGAATAACTCCATGTTGTTTATACATTCGATCTCGAAAGAGTCGAGATCCATCGAGTTCTACACCTCCAGCTAACTGATAATTTGATTGAATACATCGTTGACACATCATACCGCTACCCATTACTAACTCTTCAAAAAGGAACCATCTATTGGGCATAAGCCAATCGATAACATTAGATTTGATCAATCCACCTCCGGCAAACCGGCTGTATACATCTTCACTAAAACAACTGTCACAATTGATGTGATCTAAGCCAACAAACACACGAAACGATTGCAGATGTTTGGGAGCAAAACGAATCAGTGCAACATAAGCTGGATAGAGTCCATCAAAAAGTGCATGACCAATATTTTTGTGCCAACGTTGATTGAAGTGGAGTGTAAGTCCCGAGAGGACCATCGGATCAATAGTCAAACGAACAAATTCATGCAGTTCTTCATATGTATCAAATACACGATGATTCGGTCGAAAATCTGTTGTAGCTAATGCTTCAAGTCGAACGCCTGGTAATGATAAATTATTTTCTTTCAATGATAGAGCCCAAAATCCACGATTTGTATAATAAAGATTTTTGTAGAGACACGACTGATTGTATAGTGGACCGACACATTTGACAGTCGTTACTAGTGATCGTAGGTCAGTCTGAGATGATGATGCAGAAATCTGAGATGGCTTATAACTATCTGATAAATTGTTTTGTTCATTAATACTGATTTTGAAATTTGATCGAATATTGTTCATATGAAACAAATATTGTCTCTGCTTGAAAATTACAGTAAGATTTGCTATTAAGATTACTACACCAATAAAAACGACAACAACTGCTGATGAACCGATTGTCCATATTTTTCTGTTTCCAAATAACATCGTTGAAAATAAATAAAGTCAACTGCTTGTATCAGCTATACTCTGATGAATAGAAATCGCTTTTCAAACGTATTTCTTAGTCTACGTACGTATGTTCTTCAATTTCTTTTGAATTTTTTCTTTTCATAGTGAGTAAAAATTTAACTATTTGAAATAAAAGTTCAAATTTAAGCATGCATTGATTAATTTAGATTAACTATCTTCATTAAAATTGTGTTGCGTGCTTCATTTGATGAAACTAAAATAGAAACAACATATACGTCTACGCATAATAACGTAGTAAAAGTGAATTAATAAAGAGAAGAAAAAATAAAAGGAAAAAAAGAAGAAAATCTAGTAGGCCACAATGAATCGACATCATCTAACAATTCAAGTATGTTAATGAATTCGAAGGAACTCGTGCTCTTCTGTTCAAATGGTACTCAAAGCGATTTTATTGGTAGACAAACAGAAAGACTTCAATCAACTTTCTACGACATAAAAAGTTTAGACGAGCGAAATGGTTATTTAATCAAGGTAGAAATGGCTTACGATATAGAAAAAAATAAAAGAAATAGTGAAGGTAATTATTGCAAAGGTAAAAACATGTGGTTACAACGATTTCATGAAAGAAAAAAAAATGAGTATTTGCAAAAAGAAAGTAAAACAAAATGATGTTTGAATAAGATTTATTTCAGACTGTTAAGTACTATTTGCCAATAGTAAATATTAAAGCACCGAAATCTGAACAAAGTCGGTTAGCATATGACTTATAGTCTACATACGACCGTTTTTATTAATTTATGATTGTTGATAACGGTGCAGTTTTTTATCCTTAGATCTCACTGACAATCCAATGTCGCAAGGTTCAATATGTTCCTCGCTATAAGATGCTAGAGTGAATCTAACAAGATTCTTGTTATAAGATTCTTACAAAGTCTGATGATCAGAATCTTCTAAGATCATATGTGATCTTATACAATATTGTTTTATGCTTTCCTTGTGCAAAGAATTTTCTAATAATACTTTTATGCATTTCAATAAATTCTTAAGTGATTTAATATCATCTAGTTTTAACGAGATGCCTGCAACAATCAGAAATAAATCTTTGGAATGGAAATCACACAACTGATAGAATTCATCTAATCGACCAATTAGATTCAGCAACATGCTTAAGGGTAAGCATGATATTTATACAAAAAACGTTTTTTTTGTTTCTATTAATCTAAAAACATAGTTAAAAAGGAAGCTTAAATTTTATAGTATACATAGTTTTCTTAATTTAAAGTTGAACAACATCGTCACCAAGTATAAATTTTGTTAAGTAAAGTTCTTTTTCATTTAGTTCGGTCTGAACGAAGCTGTCCAAAGTTAAATATAAATTTTATTAAGTAAATAATATTTTTTTTATTCACATTACTTTACACAACGTCGTCGAAAGGTAAATATAAATTTTGTAAAATAAATATTTTTTTTTTATGTAGATTGAACTCAACCACATATTCAAGGGTAAGTATTAATGTAAGTAAATCAATAGTTTCTTTGATTTTCTCAAAGCAGAGGTGAGTGGACGGGAAAACGAGATGATGGGGTAGTGGAGACTGAAGGCGAGGACAATGGAACAAGAAACTCGATTGTAAAATGCATTCGAAGAATTTACAAAAGCTTAGATGAGTATTAAAAGGTCTTACAGTTTGAATGTTTGACCTGGATCCTTGTAACAAGAAACTGAAGAAGGAGCTTTACTACCATTCTCGGTAGTGGCGTTTACTGCGTTACGTCATATCTCCAGAATCTAACTACTTCATCTACAACATGTGTTTATATAGAAGAAAACAAGAAAGAAAGAGAGATGAATCCAAGTAAGAACAATAGAGAGAGAATACCCTAGCAAAAATCCTCGATGTTTCTGTTTCAGATCCTGAGCAAAACAAATAAGGATTCTTCAAAGATTTTCTCTTTTTTCTGAGGAAACAACTAAGTCCTGTAAAAAGTATGTAGACACAGAATTTCGAGATCCTGCTAGGATTTAAAACTGGATTTAATCAGGACCCTATGTGGTTTATGACTATTTTTGAGCTAGGAATCAGTGCAGAAAATTACAAACCCTGAAAGAAGCATGGAGTTATGGAATCTCAAGATCCTAGTAGGATTGAGTACAGGATTCAATCAAGGTCCTGAACAGTTTATCACTAAGTTTAAAATCAGGAATCCGTCCAGAAAATCGCAAAATTCTGAGAGAAACGTATGGCAAGGCATTGCTATAGATTTTAACTAGATGAGTATAGTTGGATGTGGCTGTGAGTGTGAGTTCATCTTATCTTAACCCATGTCCACACTCACACCTGCAAACAGGAATTGATGAGAGTCGAGAAAGGGTCCTGAATAAAACTTCATAAGGTTCTCGAGATCTAGGATTCTGACAAATCTTTTTGGGATTTCTTGAGGAATGAACACGATTGATACTAAGATAAAGAGGGTGTGAGTGTGTAAGGTGGGTCTTCTCTTCTACAACAACCGCTCGCATCCAGATCAACACGTTCATACTCCACATCTCATACTCATACTCACTGTATCATCTGAAATATTACAGGATGGTCTATACATAATACTACGATAAAAAAGATGAAATATCTCTACATCAATTCAATTATATGAGTTGATTTTACAGTTAGTTGTAGAAGTTCATTCAATGCTTTTTTCACACGGATGAGATAAGCAAATACTAGTGTAAAGATTATTGTTGGTATCATGAAAACAATTTTATCTGTTATCAAGTAAAAAATATATGTGTGGTGTTTCATAGCTAATTTTCAGTTAGCATCTAAAAGAATAACAAGAACAAATCAAAACGAACTTTTTGAATGATTCTGCATTGATGTACACAGCAAATCTTCAAAAGTTGTCAGCTTAAATGCTGAAATTCGTTTCCTATTAATAAGACGTACAATTGCAGTCTTATGGATATCGAAGTATCAACCTTCTTGCAAAAATCATTATTCCATGTTTGAGAGTTTGACATTTGTAATCGTTGACTTTAGAACTCATCAGTTTTTAAATTTTCTCTATTTAAATCAATACAGAATCGTTCATAAAATTCGGTTTGATTTGTTCTTATTTTTCTCTTCGATGTCAAGTGAAAATTTTCTATGAAATGCTAGACATGTGTTGCTTACTTGATACCAGATAAAATGGCCCTCATGATACCAGCAATAATACTTGACGGTATTATTTGCTTACCTTATTTGTATGAAAAAAACCTCACACTAAAATAGAATATGTCGCATACGTCGTGCTTTGCGACACATTTTGAGAACGTGGGTCGAATCCACTCTTCATCGCATTTGTAATTTTTTCCATAGAAGCAGATAATTACTATTATTTCAGATTAATATAAATTAATGATACATATTCTTCAAGCGCAAACGATTAGATCTTGAGATTTAATCGTCTTAAAATCGTTTGATCTCGATCAAATCGCTTCATGATAGTCATTTCTCGATCATTAATTCGTTTCTTGATATATCGTTGGTTATACGTAGCTGTATGTGCAAAAAAACGAAGAATACATAGTTAGCAGATAAAATACGACACATTCGGACTGTGACATATTTTCGTGATAAACTTTTCGACACTGTCACTAGCGACACATAAATGTAACATATCTTATCTCAATGTGCTTGAATGAACTTCTATCACTAACTAAAAAATCAATCCATTTGATTGAACCGATGCAGAGATATGAAATTTTTTTAATCTAGTGCTATTTAAGGACCCTTCTGTATTTGAATAATGATGATTTTCTCTGAAAATCAGCAAAAGTTGTCAGCTTAGCCGACTAATGCCGATAAAATTGCCGATTTTTGCGCGATTTTGATGACATGAGTGGTGATCAGAAGTGCAATTGTTAACAGTTAGTTATTTTTATAATGTATTTCAAAAATGATTCTTTTGATTGTCATCTGTTTCATTTGATATAGTTTTAGATTTCCCAGATACTCATTACGATATAGTCATTTTAATATTATTATAACACGAAAGCACTACACAATTAAATATTTACTTTTCTACTCCCAATTATGCGCATAATCAACAACATTAATCAAATTAATGGATCATGACTCATCAGTGGCGTAGTCAGAATTTTTACATCAATGGGCAAACTTCTCTTGTGCGCGGAAAAACCGATGGGCAAAATGGGCAAAGTTTTTATTGGTTTGCCAAAACGTTTTTGGCCCAAAGGTACTTACTGATAACTTAAAAAAATACAAAAAGAAAATGAAAATGAAGAGACCCTTTTAATCAAATATGCAAACTTAGATCTTAAGCCTGAGTCAGATGTGTTTTAGTCTATTCTTTTAATGTCTCTGTTTATAACATTTGTATTTCAAATTAAAACACCAAAGTCAAGACGACGATGATGCATTTGTGTGTAAAATTTCAATATTTCATCCGGATTTATATCGAGATCTTTATGAATGTTTGCAGCAGCAAGTTTGTTGAGTCTATTTTGCTTCATTGTAGCCTGAGAATAACTTTTAATTCTCGATAGTTGACTGAAACTTCTTTCAGCAGAAGCTGTTGGTACAGGCAATGTTGCCAAGAAAACTAATAAATAACGAAAATTTGGATAAGATACATTGTCTGTTTCTTTAATTAGTTTATTTAACCACTTTTTACCCCAATCATCATCCATTTTAAGCAAATCATGACATTTTTTATGGCATCTTTCTAATTCAGAATTTAATTGTAATGGTGAAAAGTGTACACATACATATAGATGAACAAGAAAAAAAACATGCATAAATTCAAATATAGGAAGCTATTCTTGCCTTCTTCTTCTCTTTATTCTTCACAGAAAAACACAAGCAGAGTGAATGTGAGATCCAGACAGAAGAAAAAAAATATAGTTATTATCTAATTCAAAATTAAATAAACAAATCTGGAAAAGTAAAATTTCAGTAAGCAAAAACTTACTAATAAAAATTACAATAGGCAGAGCTCAAAATGAAATGGGCAATTGCCCATTTGCCTCCCCCTTGGCTACACCACTGTGACTCATGTAAATCTGGATATATTCATTAAAAATAGTTTCGTTAAATGCAGACTTTATTCTTGTCAAAAAGAATTTGTGAAGATCTTATTTTGTATTGATGTTCTTTTTAGTAAAAACCACTGAATATCACGTCAGTAGAAAGCTCTCTTACTGACACTTATTTTTTTTTACATTTCAACAAAATATTTCTCTAATGTTTCACGGGAATTGAATTTACTTTTTTTATAGGATCATATCAAAAATCAACTAATCAAATCGAATCTTACTGATTTTGTTCAAAAGAAGAATACCTGTGTTGAATGAAACTCTTGTTCACGAATTGTTAGGTAGTAGTATATATATTCTTCGCTTCACTACCTTTTTTTGTTTTCTTTCTTTCCTATACTTATATGCTATATATTGTTCTTGCCCTTGAATTATTTTTTTTCGTTCTCTTCGTTAGATTTTTTCTTGTTTGTCTTTCACATAAAGGGTGTTTGATAATAACCGACGATAAATTGCTTTTAATAGTTTTTACACTTTTTGTTGGCCTAGAGAGCTGACATTTTTATCATATATATATCGAATCATCATCTTCCATTTCTGAAAGTTTCAGCTTTCTAACAAAAACTAGTGGTGCAATGCATCGATAAAACTGAAATACATAAATTTTCGAAGATGATTTTTTAATATTTTTTACTGTGAAAATAGTGCAAGGCAGTTTTGTGAGTAGTCAATCAAAAAATCACAAGGTATTCAGAAAAGTGTCTTTCGCATCAAACTTGGTAGTTTTTTTTTCGTTGATCATTTTGGTAAAAAAAATTCGAATTTCATTGAGAAATGATGATGTTATAGACAAAATACTAAACACTGTAAAATGTAAGTAAAAGTCGATTCACATATTTCAAAATGCTTATATTCTGGAGACATGTGACATAGTAAGTTTTGTAGAGGACACTTTGGTCTACAAAACTCTATAGTCGGTTTCTTAGATACAGGCAAATAGGATAAATAAGCCTCAATTAAACATTGTATACGATATTCCTATCAAAAAAATCTGACATCTTTTGTTTTTACGATAAATATTTTGGCTATAACATTGTCATTTTCCAATGAAATTCGAAAAGTTCTTTTTACCAAAGTGATCAACGAAAAACGTTCTACAAAGTTGGATACGAAAGAAAATTTTCTGAATACTTTGTGATTTTTTGGTTGACTACCCACGGAACTACCTTGCAATATTCAGTATGAAAACTTATGTATTTCAATCTTGTCGATGCATTTCACCACTAACTTTAGCTACAGCCAAAAAAAGATTTTAACTAGTTGGTCTGATTTCGAATAATCGAAAGGTACTGAATCCTCGGCTACATCATAGGATCGAGAGCAGTGAAAGAATTCTTTTGATTACTGGATCCGACTCTGAGCATTCAAACTTGCTCAAGATCGAATTCTTAAATTTTTTTACATTTCTTATCTGAAAAATAAGATTTAGAATTGAGCTTACATTGAGAGTCAATTCAGCAGTGCGAGCGTTTTAAATCTGTATTGCTATAGGTTTTATTTCAGTGAATGATGTTTGATGAAAAAATGCCGTAAAAATTAACTTATGTTTATTTTAAACATACGTTAAGGATGCTAATTGAGGTTATTTATTTGGTTATATGTTTCCTAATTCTTTTATACTTTTCCTAGCATCGATATGTACCATTTGTAGACGAATATCCTAATGGAATTTTGTTGTCATTTTCTTAAAAACATAATAATACTGAACTATCAGACCCTGAATACTTGGAATAGTTTTGTCGAATATTTTGCCCGCACTTTTTTAATGATATTTGCATATCAAAATATCCTTGTAATCATCCAAGAAATTTTCTTAATATTAACTCGATCCTAGAGATTTTTCTTAATTTAGTAAAAATATATTTTTAAAAATTAGATCTTCTTTGTTAGAAAAATTTGCCCTTTATTTCATTCAAAAATTAAAATAAGAGAGTTTTAGAATAAAATCGGAAAAAATCAAAAGTACTATCATGTACTATTCCTAAACACGTTTCTTATCGCAAAATATTAGCTAATATTTAGCTCGGCTGTTTGACAAAAGATTTGTAATCGTCAGTACCTATGTTCAATCCTTTTATTCTGCATTTATTAGATGAGTGCCGACGACTCGAGAAAAGTATTGCAACGTGTAAGCACTTATGTTCAAATCTTCACTTCGGCATTTATGCGATGCTTTTCGAGGGCTCCAAAATAATATGTCCAATCTGCGAAATTTTTTTTCATTTTCAAAGATTTCGTGCCCTCGAAACCCCTTGAGGATGTTTTGTGATGGGCGTCGAAGTTTCAAATAGATTAGTCGGAGTATTGCAGTTAGGCATGAACTCGGCAATAAGTTTACAAATTTCGATTGATTTTGACCCGTCGAAATCTACCCTTCAAGTCGTCATGAAGATTTTATCCATAAGACCCATCGCCGAGTCCACGACCTATCGGAAAATGCCACTTCAACTACTCGATCTGGAACTCCGATGCTCATCGCAGACTTAAATTGACGCATCGGAATACCTATCGGAAGACAGCTTGGGTTTGGTTAATGTTGATTCTAATAAAGAAAATAGCAGTACTATGCGAATTCGGATATAATATTATTTTTCTAATTTGCCAGCGTTTGTCTATTTAAAGTTTTGTCGATACAGATATATAAAAAACATTGTTGAACAATATATCATTAGCAGTGATCCTGGTGCTTATATTGATGCATAAAAAGGTTTTGATGATGAGTTACACTACTTGATATTAAAAGAATTATTTTAACCACCGTTTGGTTTTCTTATAAATCAAGTACATAAATCATAACGACAAACACGCAAATTTAGATGCTTTTAGTATACAATTTTCCTTATACAGAATATTGTATTGTAAAAGATAGAATTTATTGCTTTATTTGTAATTTATTTGGTAATGGAGTCGGTTGTTAACGAACAAAATTAACTTGGACTCTGGATAGAGATAAATAGAATAAAATGAACAACCTAGTGAGAAAAGAAAGATAGCACGTTTACTTTACATTTTAAATTCAAATCTCATTCTGTAGCATTAGAACATTATCATAATTGTATTGCAAGAAAATGGGAAGCTCTATTAAAATACAATCGTACAAATGTTTCTTTGTTAATTGATATTAATCATTTTCTTGCAAGGTGGAGCCTTGTCTTTCGTGTTCGTTCAGGAAATAAAGAAGAAAGTATATTTCAATAATAAGACTGTACTCGTTTTCAACTGTTCTTTTATCTTTTTAGGAAATTGTGTGCAATTTGCCAATTCTTTTGAGAAGATTTAATGCTAGCTTGGACCAATGGTTTTATGATAGGTCTCATCAAGCACATTACGTTAGAGTACCACTTTTGACCTGTTAACTTTAAATATGTTGTGACATAATACTATGTTTATATTGTATTACAGGTAACCTATTTGTCATCAAAATCTCAAAGCAAATCCATTTAAACAATCGACAAAGAAATTCATAATGAAGGTGATAGCTCTTGAATTTTATAAAATCATGATGTGTATTTTGTCTTTTTCATTGTATGGCCTGTTTGTTTTAGTATAAAGGACAATAAATGAAGTTTCATTTATTTCAATTATAGTTGAATCAACAGCAGATGCTACTCATAAAGATATCTATACAGTTCATTATTGTCAAAATTTTGAAATTGAAGAGAAATTATTTGAACTTGACGAATTAAATAGTAAAGTGGGAGAGAAAATCATCGAAGTCATTATTTTTTTTTCAGAAAAACTTGGTGTATTAGTAAAGAAAATTATTGATCCATCATACTATAGACCATTATATGACAGGCAAAAATATTGATATTCACACTTTAGTGAGTAAAGCATTAAATGAAAACAGTATATTTATTCCGTATAATGCTCGTCGTCCCGACTAAGTCAAATTTATAGAAATATTGAAACGTTATCATCTTAAAAATAATTATTTTTCTTTAAGTTGTGAACCACTCAAGTACATGTAGTGTTGAATTTATATCTTTATTTGACTTATTACAAGCTTTATACCATTACATAACATCTGAATTTAAGTGTCTTATGGTCTGCTTCACTTATTAAAATCTTTTTGCACACACAAGCTCGATCGAAATAAGCGAATTTAACTCTTTTGAGTGAATGCATTTATGGTCAACAATAAATTCCAACCTGGAAATAATTCACTAACTTTCTTTGACCAATATTAGCTCAATAAGTCTAATTCCGAATTACCGTGTCGTAAACAAAAAAAAGTTGATTTACATATCTACATTTTAACTTTGATAAAAATTAAAAAATTCTCAGCCAAGAAGCTCAAGTTGGTTTTTATTGATCAGAAAATTCTACGTAACTAAATGAAACGCGTTTTGAAACAACTTTCTCTACATGTGTCAGAGAATGAACGGGACAGATTTGTACTTCATGAATTCAACATCAAACTTTTTTGATGACAGTCTAAAATCGATAATTATAGAATAATGAAAACCTTTCTTTTATCGATCTTAACAACAGATTTCCATTTCTGCTCGGACCTGTTCAACTAAAACCGATGATACTAGTTATGTTTTTATATTGAAAGATTCATGCAAAAGTCGTTGGTTTGCTCATTATGAAGCATTAATACTGTTTAGCTGTCATTCCATGAATTAATGCAACGTTTAACTGAATTAGAACATGATGATGATACAAACACCAAATATGACACTAAAACTTTGGTGAATAAAACAATATCATTTTATTTTTGTGTACTTTTAACATTCATTTGACAAGTTATGACAATTACAAATGCAACTAAATCTCAGGTTCAACAACAAGATTTGGATATATTATGTATCATTAATATGCTACTATCATTGTCAATTCACTTTTTTTTCTTAATTCAAGCATTTTATTGCTTTTCAATATGATCTATTTTCTAACTTAAACAGGCGCATCTTACACCATACACATTTTGACATTGTCATTTAAAACCTGGACAAAAACGAGTGAAATATGGAGCGTAAGCTGATTGGTTCAAACGACCTAGAATGAACTACATAGACTTTTAAATAAAGCATGTTTTTAGCCATTGAATTTCCTAGTGAAGACAAGAATCTTGTACACATTACACAAATTATAATTGAATTGAACAATCTGATTTATATTGGTCCATAGAGACACCAATTATATGGCTTCATTCAGTTTTAGCTGGTGTAGTGTGTTGAATTTTTTTCTGATAAAAGAGCGATATATTTTAACAAGCTTAATATGAAATGAAACGATAATGATCATTATTTGACATAGAAGAAAATTGTCTTTTTAATATTTTGTTCGAATTTCATAAAATTAATTGTATGCTGTACAAAAGAAGTCCAACTATAGATCATATAGTCGATTATTCAAAATACGAATAGTATGTATATCGGTGTATGTTATGTTGTTCGCGCACAGTTAATCGTATTGGATTGAGTATAACATGAAGGCTTTTTATTATGCAAGGTTGTACTTATGTTACACATCAGTAAAATAGCATTTTCGATTTTTCTATCTGAATAGACATTATTTGTCTTTTGATAATCGAAGATAGATATTATTAAGGAAATGACAAGTTTTCATTCTGATAAAACAGTGTATTCAATTGTTAGACAATTTGTTTTTGTCAATTTTTCTAATAAATAATTTAAGAAAAAAAAATCTTTAATTTCATTTCATTGAAAATTATTCAGTTCTAGAAAAAAATCTTATGGCAAGTAGTTTGAACAAAGGTCATCCTTGGTTTGAGACTCATCATTCCCGTCCAGCAGCAAAATATCAAGTATTTATATTTCCAGCAGCTGGTAGTCCAGGTATTGTTTTATAGTTTTGAAGTCTTATTAATCTTTGATATTATTTTAGGTTCATATTATCATGAATGGGGTAGAAATTTTCCTGAATATGAATTTTCTTTAATCATTTATCCTGGAAGGTCAAGTAGAATGAGTGAAAAATTATTAACTACAATAAAAGAATATATTGTTGAATTGAATAAAGGACTTTTACCCTATATAAATAAACCATGCATTTTTATTGGACATAGGTATGTGTTTATTTATTTTCATTGATTTAACTTATTTTTTTAATGTTTTATTCAAGTGTTGGAACTGCGATTAATTTTGCACTAGCTAGCCATATGATTGAAACAAAAAATAAAGGAAATTTAATTAAATTATTAGTTGAAATGGGAAGAGGACCACCTCATTTACAAGGTTTGTGTCAATCGATAATAAATATCGATTTCTTATAGATAAATATTTAGATCCTGATAAATCTTTTGTTCATATGACGGATGCTGAAATTGTTAAAGATTTAAAGAAAATGGCAGGTCAATATCTCTCTTTATTCTATAAGAGATTTTTTCGAAAAAATTTTCTTTCTCTAGATTCCAAAACACGAGAAATTTATGATTTTCCACCTTTTGTTGAAATGTTACTACCTATATTAAAAGCCGATGCGCAAGTTAGCTTTAATTATATTAATATTAAAAATTTCTCTTAAGATTTAATTTAGATTGGTGACGAACTATTACCTTCAACTCTATTAGATATTCCAATTATTGTTTACGGCGGAGAACAAGAAGAAAATGTTAAAGAACCATTTTTAAATAGGTTACGCCTATTTTGTTTAATAAATAAAAAAATAATATTTGATTTTTTTTGAATATTTAGATGGAAAGAATTGACTACAATACAAGATTTATTTCGCGTTCGAATGTTTCGTGGGCATCATAATTTTCAATCAGAATGTCAAGATGAAGTATTACAATGTCTTAAAGAAGATTTCAATAATATTATCAATAATTCAAAAACTTAATTTTTTATTTTAGGTTTATTTTCTTATTTTTAATCCACTTATGACATTTTCATATGAAATAATAAGAAAACAAAGGTTGTTTTTTTATATAGATCATCGAAATATTGATATTTATATACCTTAGCTTGCCTTAGTATACAGTGAGACAAAAAAAAGAATGCAAAAACTCATTTTTTTGTTCTTATTTGCTTTACATTGAATGAAATGTGTCAAGCCCAAAATCAATCAATGAATTATAATTGAAAAAAAAATATAAGATTGATTCATTTAGTTGAATCAAATAAAAACATTTTTGATAAAATAAGAGTAAAAGTGAAATAAAAAATAAAACTACTCTTTAGGAATTAAATGAAAAACAAAAGCGCATTATGTCAACTAATATTTGATTTTTGAGAGTTGAGAAATTTCAAATGAAAATTGACCCAATAAATATTCGGAAAAAATATTATTAAGAGCGATGCCGGTTTCCATCGATAATAGATCGATTAGTCAATTGATAACAATCACTTTTATAACTAATGAAATATCTAATACTCTTATCTAGAAATAGTTTTACAAGAAAAACGAATTCGTTCTATTTCACAAATATTTGACCAGATCTTCTTTGCATTTTTTTAAAGTGAATTAGTAATTAAAAATATATTTATTTTTTCCTAGAAAATAAATGAAAAAAAAAAATTTCTCGATTTATTTGTGAAATATAGAATCGATTAATGTCATAAAATTTGTTGATAAATTTATTAAATAAGATTATTAAAGGATAAATTCGAATAAATGATGATGTGTTAAAAATGGATTTTTCTCCATATGATCATCTTTTATCCTATTTTGACAATATTCACGTTTTACATCAACTCTTTAACTCATATTCAACAAAAATCCTTTCTATAACAAATGATTATTTTTTTGTTTGGTTATCTTTTTAGAAGAACATTGAATAATGAAAATAATGCTTCGACATAAGCAATTAATCGATTTTTTAATGAATTATAATATCTTTTAAATGTAAAAAGAATTTCTTCAAAATATTTTTTTCTTTCTAGAGTTAGTTTTGTACAAGGTTGATAAATAAAAATGGATAGATTTTTTATTTTTTATTTTAAAATATTTAAATAAATATTGAAAGATTTTATTTGATATAAAACAGTTTCAAATAAAAAAATCATATAGAATAAGAAGTGATGATTAGATTTTTTTTAAATGTTAATCATGGATAATAATGTCTAGCATAAGTAATAATGACGTATTTTCTATTCAAATATATTTATTTTATTTTTTAAATCTTTGAATCGTGCTGATTTATCATTAGAACATCAACTAGATAAAATATCATGACTAATTAAGACAATCTTCTACAACACCATCAATCACTGAATACCGCACCATTTATAGTCATATTAATATTGTCTTATCCTTGCTTTCACTTTCGAACTTTTCTTTCTACTAATATCACATACTAATTTCAATTCTACCTGTAATATACCCAGGCCAAACAATTCAATTATAAGATCTTGAAAAATTATTTCAATATCTTATAGAAACTTACTATATAATCTTTCATAAGCATACAAGATTTTATGAAAATTATATATAATTTTGTATGATTTTATATTCCAATCTTAAAGTCACTATTTCCAATAATATCATACTGTAATATTCATGGATGATTTTTCGGGATTTTTCACGATGTTGCATACAAGATTGTTTTCTTAAGAAATTTTTTTTATCTTGATTCAAATATGTACATGTATATTCATTTATAAAAATTACAAAAACTAATTGAATACGAAAATATGCGCTTAACTGACATAAAAGAAGAAAACACAATTATCTTTCTTAAATTCGACAGTTAAAATGAACTAGAAAAAACAAGTTAAACAAGCAAAAGAAAATCTACTTCCATTTAATCAAACTGATTAAATTATAGGTGAAGTGATTTTTTGATAGATCACCACCATTACGTTAAAGATCTATTTTTAACTATAAACAGTAGTGTTTAAATTAGAGCGCATTTAGTCTCTTGAATATTTATTGAAATGCACTAAACTATAGTTATTAAAACTACCTATATGCGTCAGATCTAAAATTATGATATTATACGATGGTATAAGATCATACAAGATTATCATCAAAGATTTGCACCACGCTTAAACAGCTAGGCGCAAGTGGCCGCTCTGAGCTACATGCAGAATCTTTTTGTCGATTTTTTCACGGGTTTACTGCACCAATGTTTCCGAATAAATAAGGCATCATTTATCAACATTTAAGTATGAACAACAACATAACATTAATAGAACTATAAAAGTATATATTATTTAACAAAACTTAACTAGATAAACATACATTGATATGTTACCGGTTTTGTCTTCATTATTTCTGCAATTGATTTGAGAGCAATACAAGTTTTAAATATCTTTGTTGGCATAATTTATCAACGAATGCATTCACATAATAATTAGAGAAACTAAATATAAAAGTGAACAATGTATCTAGTATGTGTAGCGACAGGGATATGACCATGGGGATGAAAAGGAGAGGCGAGTTAAGTATGTATCTCCTACTTTTAGAAAATTTTCAGTTTTTTGCAGCCAATATCTTAATTTTTAATTTGAAACAAAAGATCATAAAATGAAAAACTAAAGTTTAGTGTCTACCACTTTTTAAAATATCATATACACGCCTTTTCAGCTCTTAAAGAATTTCTTTGTATACATTCACTTTTTTTCTTCGCCACATTCTTCTGTAGCAAAAAGAGTAGCAAAAGAAAACAAGATCTTAAGCCGTAGCCTGAAACGCCTATTATAAAACTAAGATTTTCCGACAACTCAAAAACCTTAGTAAAATTTAAAAATGAGATTTTTGTTTTTCTCAAGAATGGCTACTAAGTCAATGTCACTTTGTTGATCATTTTTGATTTCACACAAAAAGGACACAAATGTTGCCGTACGATATCAAAATTGACTTGCCTTTTTGAATTTCAACTTCAAAAATTTTTAATTTATAACATGACCAAACTGTGATCCCGCGGTCATATGTCCGTCATTCTCAAGATTTTTCAGGCGGCGCCGTTACTAAATCATCAGTCATAATTGCTATTAAGCTGCGGATTGACTGGTCGCATGTACGGTGCACATCTCTGATGGTGATATGCAAGAATGGATCGATTATCTAAGCAGTCGTGCGTACCGAAGTGGTTTGGAACATATGTTAGGAGTATATTAAAACTGTGTTATAAAATAGTGTTTCAAGTTCAAAAAAGCATTTGAAATTTAAAAAAAGATAAGTTTAAATGCAAAAATATTATTGTTTTTCTAAGTGTTGGTTTTGAAACGTTGTTCGGTAGAAATGTTTTTTTTCACGATATATATGTACTCAATTTAATTGTTTTTGAACAGAAAATCGTTAATTAAATAAAAAATAAAAACGAAAATATCACATTTTCTTCGTATGATTTTCTTAAATGAGGAATATGATTTTTATTGTTTGAATAAATAAAAAATTGAATATCTATTCTATTGAAGTTCATTTAAATAAAAGATTTGTTTTTAGTTTGTTGATTGTAAATATATCTGATTAATTTTGTTTCAATTAAAATGATACGAAAAATAGTTTAAAAAATTGATCAATAAGAAAATCTTTTTTTAATAATGCATCAAATATTTCGTTTGAACATTTGAAAAATGTATTGGATTAGTTACCTTACTTTGAAATTATATTACGGAGAGAATGACATTAAATAAAACAAAAATCTCTAAACAAAATTTTTCTTGGAACATATGACACCTATATTATAAAGTTGATCGAGAAAATATAGTCTCATTGATTAATTCAGATTTAATTTAAATAGAAATAATTTAATTTATTATTTAATGAAAGGAATTTATTGATAAGGGAAATATTTTAAGTATTGAAGAACGCTTTTTTTTGTTGTTATATATCAATCATTACTAACTAACTTGACTAATTATTGAATTAACGTCAAAACTAACAACAATAAACATAATTTAAAAAATGAAGACAAATCATCGTAAAAAATTTTCGACTATAAACAATCATCTTTGAATAAATGATAATAGCAAAGATTATTTATACTCACATTTAACTAAATAGAATATTTCACTAAAAATCCATTTAATAACTTTAATTCCAATCTTCCTTTAATTTCATCATGCTAAAGTTAGCTAAATTCAATCGTCTTGACAAATTTACATAATAAAATTAGATTTAGTGATAAGTGACTCATACTGATTGATTTATTATACAAGATATTTATTAAAAAATCTGATAATAACTATTTTCCTGTGATTATCCTTCTGTTAACTGTGACTTTTTTTTACAGTTCAAATACCGATGGTGTATTTCTTAAAACTAATTCTTGATAAAAGTTACGTAGGCATCTTCAACTTTGTTTATGAATATTTCTTTCTGTTATTGAATAGTTTTCATTTTGAATAAAAATAGTTCTTCCAATGAATACTATTGTCTAAACAGGTCAAGATGAAAATATTTTAATAAAAAATTTTCTCATTGAAAGATTTTCTTTCTTTTGAGTATTTATTTAAAATAAAAAACAGAGAGTATGTAACAATTAACACCGATTTCTATAAAGTAATGAACACGAACAACAAATGAGAATAGATTAAAAACCGATCATTTTTTAGCAAAGTAAAATGATATATATGCTAACAAAATGCGTTTATATCTATGAAAAACAAATTTAATTTAAGTTCGATCATAAGACAAGGTAATAAACGTTCAATATTCAAATAATCATAAGATTACTTTTATGGAGCAATGAAGCTAACATATTTCGGATCAGATAAATTATTGAAAATAGTTCGATTAACAGGTGAGTCAGATTGAATTGCCGGTTTTTATAAACTAGATTCGAATCCATTATTTAGTTTAACTTTCAAAACATACCATTGAATAGAGCAAATGAAGCCGCACAAATTCATATAGAGAGCTAATTTCAAATAAGCTTTTTTATGTTCAAAAAGATGACATGGTCAAAAACTACTCTTGCTCGCTTGTATATATATGTTAAAGTAGTGGTAGGAAGCATGATAGATCAAATTAACGATCTTTACGCACTGAATTCTGACGTAGAAAATAATCTTACTCTTATAACAAAGTACATCATCACTTATAGCAAGCACAGATTTATATTTGCGTATAATAAATTGATATGCTGTAAGGACTTCCATGTTTAGAATTTTTGAAAACAGGACATGCTTCAAACTGACATAGCTTGTCAGTTCACGTTTATACATATTGTATGTCTCTTGCGGTTTCTTGTTGTGAAAGCCTACTATCTATTGACATAAACATGTTAAGTGATTATATTTGTGACGCTATTCTTTAACTGACAGAAAATTCAAAAGATCAAATCTCACAACAAAAACATTAAAAGACACGTAAGACTTATCTAATAATTATACATGTGAGCAGGAGTAATTTTTGACCATGGCATATTTTTGAAATTACTGAACATAAAAAAGTTTATTTAAAATTAGCTTCCTATATGAATTTTTGTAGCTTCATTTGTCCTATTCAATGCTATAGTATGTTTTGAAAATTAAATTAAATAACTGATTCGAATGTAGTTGATAAAAACCGGTAATTTAATCTGACTCACACGTTACATCTGATCAATATGTTGTTATAACCAATATATACTTTGTTAGACTATTAAAAAACATAACAAACATAAATTGATGATTACTATCAAGACTATCATATTGTGATATTAAATTTTCCGATCGGACAGAATAATTAAATCTCTTATTATAAATATAGACATATGTATCTATGAGAATATTAGATCTAATTGTATAGAATCCATCTCAAAAAATATTCAGACGAATAGATTTATAATAGAATGTTGTTTGTGAACAATTGATTATAGGACAAAATCTTTTACTTGAATTAGTCAATGAAAATGAATGAATATTATGATTCAACGTCTAGTAATGTATCTAATCAGAGAAAAATAAAAAATATCAATTTTTATAAATAAAATAGAAATGAAATTCGACTGATTGACTTTCGATTTGTTTTCTGTGAGATCTCAATGATTTCTATATTCATTATTAATACATCATATTCACCATCGTATTTATTCGACAGTGAGTAAAACTAATCAACATTTAATATAGAGACTTTCAAGTAGTTAGCTTTACATACAAACAAAATGTTAAATCGCTTTAGAAGTTGACTTTTGAGATGAAATAAAAAAGAATTTTTCGAATGATTTATCTTTTGATTATTTTTGTAGATCAAAGAGTGTTATTAAGATTATTTATTCTAAACAACTACTAATCAATTGAAAGAAAACTTGTATTTGTCAAGTATGATTATTCATAATTAGCAACAATGTTTCTTAATTTGATAATTATATTATTTTATGAAAAAATCTCTCTGAAATCAATTGATTTCTTACTTGATATATTCATTCGAGAAAATCCAAGCGATGCCAATCCAAATCCATTTATTGTAAAGAGTTCTATTACATTTGGATAGAATGTTGTTACAATCAAAATGTATTGTATAACTGTATCAAGATTTATTGATAAAATACATTGACTATTTTTATCAGTATCATCATCTCTTTGTATGACATTCAAAGATGGAGAGGCAGGATCAAATGTATTATTATATATATAAGCATATGTATCCACATTACTATTGCAAACAATTATGTCATATCCAGACATTGACACGTTTAGTTCAAAGCTTTCATAGGAGAAATTTGATCATGGACAAAGATTTATATGACAAAACGTTTGACTATATTTAGTCAAAGATGATAAGTAATTCTATTGCACGATTAATAAACTTCCCACTGAAAGAACAAAAAAAAAGGATGAAAACTTCTATGAAGTTTCTGAGTTTTTAATATTCTTTTCGTAAAAGCTTTTTAATTATAGTGTAGAAAAAAATACAATAATATTCAAGTGAAGGAAAAAGATGTCTATCTTTTATGGCAAATTATAGAGATTTTCCATGTAAATTCCCCACTTTTGCACTGATACATTATTAGACTTTATAATTGTTTAGAACGGCATCATTCATACGACTTACAAATTGATGAAAGGAAGAATATTGATAAAAACGGATTCTCAAATAAACAAAAAGAATTCAGACTGACTTTTTGAAAATTTGTAAATTTCTAAAGATGATTAATTTTTCATTCATGATTATACGTAGTCCATCCAGACAAATCAGAATTTGACTGAAAATTTTCTTAAATGTGTAGGATCGTCAAAAAATCAGTTCACAGGAGAAAAACTTGAATATCTTCACCATAGTTTCACCAAAATAGGATGACTTTTTTTTGTCACCGATAGAGGTATTCATGGCTCATATCGTTATGGACAATCTTGAAAAGATACGTTTCGATGTTTGACTATTGACTTCGACATAGAAATGCACTGTTTAATGGTTAACGAAAAAAAAAAACTTTCGGTGAAAGATCTGTCTAGTTGATCCATAGGTTCTGAGCTCTTATTTGGCCGAATAGTAGCGTACCACCTATTCATAATAACCTCTTTCAAAAGATTCGCTTTTTTGTACAGTTTTGATCTAGATGCGAAATTTGTCATGAATTTTCCTGTTTTTACTACTCGAATTTTTCAATAAAATCTTAATTTCAAATATTTAGTCTCAGACTTTGTCACAATACGACTAATGTGTACACAAATATTCAAAATTTTTGCATGCATTATTTTCAAGACATAAATTTTTTCAAAATCTAGACGCCTCTCTGGCAATATTGTGTAAAACGCAGAGGTTTTCAAAAATTTACATCTCGAATATAGTGCATGCAACACAAATAAGAGCTCAAAATCTATAGATCAACTAGACAGATTTTCTATTAAAAGTATTTTTTTCCGATTGTCAAGAAACACTGCATTTCTATGTCGGAGTCAATAGTCAAACATCGAAACGCATCTTTTCAATACTTCCATAACTGGTGGGGAGAAAGGTCTTGAGGAAGAAACAGTATTCTACCAAGAGATAGTTTTATGAGATGAGGCTTTTATTAGGATCCGACGGTTCCAAAAAATATCCGCAATAGACATCACGGTTTCGATTCTGGTTCCGGTTAGCACAACTAAAGAAAAATGGTTCCAATTTCAGTTCCTAAAAATTGGAACCAAAACTGTTCATCCTATGATGGACACTAAGTAACAATTGTTTGTTTTTTTCGGAAATTTCAATGCTTTTTTTTTAAATCGTTAATATTTCTTACTATCAGAAAACAATTTATTAAAATTGTAGATAACATAAAATAAGAGAAACCATTTTCATATGAAATAATTATATGAAACCGTTGATTGTATAAAAGCACTCTGAAATAAATTGATGTAATCGTTGGCAATTTTTTTTCGAACGCCTTCTTGTTTACTTAAGTAGAAGAGAAAAAAATTAAAATTCAAAGTTAATTCAACTAACTGATGTGCCAATTGATTTTCTCTGATTGACGTTCTCTGCGCAGCTTTTCGAATAATTATGTTCCATACGTATTAAAGACAAATTATCATTCTCAATTTTATCACCATCATCATCATTCATTGAGGACATAGATTGATATGATGATTGATACAAATGTGAAAATACATAACCACTACTTTCTTGATCTGATGTATTATTCTATTAGAAAACAGGTAGCACTCGTCGGTAAATTTTGTAATAAACTCACTGATACGCAAGAATCAATATTTTCTTATAGCATGCCTTGTGAACATGATTGTTAATTAAACGTTGATCAAGACATATCGATTTCAAAACGAAACCCTTAACGCATACGATGTTTATTCTCACTTTCAATTGAATTTATTACAATTGTAAATTTTTTCGAAATACCTTCGACCTTATTACACACTACGTATTCTCGTGTTTTCTTATGCATTTCTCGGTGAAATTAAGAATATGAAAGTAATATATGAAAGAGGTAGTTTGCTACAAATACAGTTGTCAAAATTCACGATCAATTTTTCTTTTATCTTTTCTTTCTGTTATGGTCATTCTTATAGTTGCCTGCTTTGTTTGGCATTAAAAATATACGATTGTTTCGCTATTCGTACACTTAGATAGATGTCGCCGCATTAACTTTTTAGATTTGATGGGTCAGAAAGTTTTCTTTTTGGAGTCGATAAGTATTTAGGATGTATTAATTCTGTGAAAAATTTCAGCCCTTAAAAGTGAGTCTCATCACAAAGTGCATTAGTGCATATCGATTTCTACATTGATTGGATAACTCATGCATATATTTCCACAGATTAAAATGTTAAAATTGAATTTTTTTAGGGAAGATCTCGATTTGAGACAGATAGATAAATCTTTTATTGATAATATTATATATGATATACGATTGATGATTCTTAGTTAATTGAATAGTTAACATTTCATGTGTCTTTCTTTCTTTATTCTATTTAAAATTTGTTTATGTCGCTAATGTTAAAAGTTTAAGATAAATAATCTAGTCAAACATTTTGTTACTTTTGAATTGGGTTAAAAGAATAAGCCAATGTCATTTTTCGATTTATTATCTAAAACAATTCTTCTATTTCTGTTTATTTTTTAATGGAATAAACCAATTTGAAATAAACGAATAAAGGATTTTTTTTAAAGATTTTAATAAATTCTTGAATTATATTATTTTCAATAAAATAAAATATTTCATATTGAAAAAATCCCTCTTGAAAATATTTTAGATAATTGATATGAGTGAAAATCATGAAGAAACAAATGATTTAATAGATATATCAACAAAAGATCATCTTAGAAATGATTTAAACGCAACTGATGATGAATTAAAATATTTAGAAAAATTATTAAAAATTCAAAAAGAAAAAATGACTAAACATCAAGTAAATAGAAATGAACCATCTGTTGTTATTGATAATTTTCTTTATCATGGGGATTTGGCTCATGCTATTGATGTTAATTTACTTTTGGATCTTCATATAAGACACATTATAAATATATGTGATTGTCCATTAGATAAAGAAATTTATGAGATTTTTGATGTTTTATGGATAAAGGATATGGAAGATCATTTTCAAGGAAATATTCGAAAACATTTTGATGAAACTAATGAGTTTTTATTGAAGTGTAAACAAAACAATGATAAAGTATTAGTTCATTGTCAAGCTGGAATATCTCGATCATCTTCTATTGTTCTGGCATATTTAATCAGGTTTTTTCTTAATATTTTAATTAAAATAAAAATATTTTTTATTATTTTAGTATTGATAAACAAAGTTTAGAAAAAGCTTATGAACATTTACTTGAACGACGATCGATTGCTGCTCCTAATTATGGTTTTCTTATTGAATTAATTCGATATGAGAATGAAATTCAACAAAAAACTCAACTAAATACAACTGATGATAAACAAAAGCCAGTAAAATCTATTGACGATAATTCAGTCGATAAAACGAAATTATAAACAAATCAAAACGTTTTTTATCAGATTCTTTCTTATTATAAATAATTTTTATTATAATCGTTACATATATGTCACATTCAATAAACGATTTAAACAATGAAATATTATATTTTATAAACTATTTACAACTGTTTACATATCAGTAGATGTTTAAAGATTAAACTATTCGCGAAAAGTGGAAGAAGTTACCAATCTAGTTCATCTTTTATCGAGACCTATGGTAGAATCCTACAAACGGAATCCCAATATATTCAACAGTCGGCGATCGAAGGAAACTAACGATTTCCAATAGTTGGATCCGATGAGATATCGACCATCTGATAAGTCAAGAAATCAGCAGGATCTGTTCTCGAAATTTCGACCTGGGTTCCCAACACGAAGGCTTTATTATGAAAAACTTCTCAAGAAGTACACTCAGCAAGAATTTAGATAGAATTTTAAATACAAGTATCATTCAATGTATTGTTGGTTTTACTTTGACGATCTTGAACTTGATGTTTTCTATCTCATAAAATATGTTCATTTTTATCGATTCATAATGATTAAAAAAAGTACTTCCTTTTCTTCATCGTGAAGACAAACAAAGCCTGCCTTAAGCGTAAAATCATACTGTAGAGTTTTGCGTAGTTGCCGTAGAAGAACACGATAATTTATATCTACAACAAATAAAGCATTGACTTTTTTGTTTTCTATCAGCTGAAATTAGGGATGAACCATTTAATGTCCCATAGCATTAAGTTAAGTTTTATTACTTAACACTTAATATTAAGTTTAAGGTCTTCCCGCCCCCCTCCGAAAATTTGATTTTAGTGAAAAAGAACAATTTTTGACCTAAGTATACAAGGATGTTGCCTAAGGTGTTTACCTTAAATATTCATAGAAAAATTTTTCTGATTCGAAAGGTTTCAATGAGATATATTAAAAGTTTCTGAGGTCTTCTATGACAATGTTCTTTAATGAATGTAGGTAGAACTTGAAGAAAAATTGTGGTAAACTCCATTTTGCAATTGTTTATATGGTCGTTAGGAACACAACTTCACGCGCCTTAATTAATTTTAGCGATGGATGTATGATATGGCCATATTTTGTGTGGATGTCCCATGATAGCTGGATGAAATGCAGAAAAAGTTTTTGCATTTTTCTCAAAACCGGTTTTTGTACTATTGAAAAATTCGGTACAAATTTTTTTCAAACATAATTCGTTATAGAGAGTTACGACTCTTTTTGTTTATGAGAGCGATTGATGCTTCCTCGAATGAGGGGAAGGAGTTTTGAAAATACCTTCTAGTTCTGTAGAAAATCTTATCTGTCTGAAAAGCCTTTGAAGATTTTTTTCAGGTTTTTAGAGATTTTGATCTTTCAATTGAAGAAAGAAATAATTAAAAAAACCTCTTCTCCTCATCCGAACGAGCAAACAATTCTCTTTCAAATAAGACATCCTCGATCCTATATCTTGACGTATAGTGGAAAAGAATTTGTACGGTGTGAGCATTCATTTTGGATCTTAATTTTCAGAAAATTTCTGAACGTTGAGGTTTGGAAAGCTAAAAAAACTTCGTAAGTATACTTTCATGGGCCTAATATTTGTGAAGAGTTTCAAGGAGATCAACTGCACGGTATCGAAAATCGATTTTAGAGGAGCGAAGTCTTAAAGTAATTACGTTCAGGAAATATAATTTAGTTTTGAATTTTTCTCTATTTGAGAATGAACTCAGTATGGTGTTGTCGCAGTCATTCAAGAGAGAACTTTCTACTAATATTCTGGTTAATCCGAACAACAATACTCGAAATTAAATGATATTTGTCGAACACAATCACTTAAACTTAACTTTAAATGAATAAAGTGTTAGCCAGAAAAATAAAAACTTGATATTTGTTACGAAGTTTTTTCATTAACACGTAATACTTAACTTAATTATATCAAATTGAAAAAAAATGATCCACCACTAATTATTTCTGTTCATCATGTCAGAATGCAGATCAAGAGAAATATTAATGTATCATTTCGAGACGTCGATATTTTCAATTCAGGAATGAGCTTTTACCGGTCATTATTATTGTATTATCAAGGCGAAAAACAATCTTTACTTGGATCTTTCTCTTCTGTCATATAAGTCTAATCGGGTCTGTCAATCGAAAAGAATGGTAAGAAATAATGCGATTGATGCGTCCCATGAAAAAAATTAGTTTATTTCGAGATCAATTAAGGAAATTTTCGTTTTAATCGATAGATGTCTGAGCTTGCGAATGTGAGTTAGGATTGTCTCTTCATATTCATCCACATACTCATACCCTCAAATAGTAGCGTGAGGCATTCAAGAAAAAACATCTAATCGATTCGCTGACTCTTCAGACTCGGTCTGACTTGGTAGCGTGTTGAGCGCCTGCAGGCCAGCAAGATCGGCTAGCAGCTCTGTTATCTTCCGTCCTACACAAAGAAATATTGTGTGAACTTATGATCCTTAGTAATGAAGCAAAAGTTTCCTATGTGCGATACTTGAGTACATTACTGAAAGAAAGGATTGTACCAATGTGTTGGTGTATGGATATTGACTGTTGGTCTCTGAATAGTTTTTAAGCATTTATTTAATTTTACTAACGATTAACGAGAAAGTGATTTTCATTACAAAATTTCTGTCTACTAAGAGTGAAAGATTGCCTACTGTGGTGTTTATCTGGTTAGTTGTGTTTGAGGAAAACTCAAAGGAATAGACAGGTGCCACTGACTCTACTCTATATTGACTATTAAAATGTTTCAACGTCTTGTTCATCATCCGATCGACAAATTCTACGTAGATTCGTAAAGAAATTCTTTTGACACGTCTATTTGTTCTACTATTCTCAACAACCGTATACATCTTGATGCTTTATATTCCACTCTAGATATAAATCAAAAAAAAAAAATTTCATGTCACCAACATGAAATGATTTTGAGAGTCTTGAAGTAAAGCGTTCAAACACACTTGAATGTTCGTGCTCGAAGATATTGATACCTTATGGCGCATTCATTCATACTGAGTCATCATTGCATCAACTGTCTTGTAGCGATTTTGTCTTGCATCCAATCGATCGATTAAATTTTCGGAACTAATGTAACTGTGATCTGGCCGATGGATATGCGAACTTAGTCTAAGTGCGATATGGCAACTAGTTGCAGCTCTCTGCCAAAATGTGCACAAACTTTGAATGATGCGATTAACAGCTTGATGGCTTTATCACTGATCAGTTCGTTAGCATGATATGAAGAAATTCTGACGGGCAAAATTCGTGCTGCTCTTGAACATGCTAGAAATATTGCATCCAATTCGCTTACTTGATCACTGTCGATTGTTGAGCAATTTACACTTGCCCATCGTTTGATTACGAAAATATCTACCAATCATTGGCTGTTTACCGAAGAAAATGTATGGGTACGTATGACAAGCAGTAGCATGAAATCACTCTCTGAACTCAATAATTTGTTTCAAAAACGCACCGATGTATGTTTTATACTCTTTTATGATTTTTGAAAAACTGATATTTTCTTCTCGAATTTTACTTTCGCTTCTTTCGTCTAATTGGACTAATTTTCAGTATAAATCTGGTTGTATTATTTTTTTTTTGAGTTCCTTTGAGATAAGACAGTGCAGAACTTAATCGAAATATGATTTATTCTGAAAATCGGTAGAGTCAGATGAAAAGTAGTAATTCAGTTCGACTCGAATCACATAAAAGTATACGAGATACATCGATGTGCATTTCAAACAAATTATTGATCCCAGAGACTGATAATATGTTAAGACTGGGGCTTTGACTACCTAATTTATGTTAGAGCAATCTTTTCGTCCATTCAGTAGTATTTTTAAGCTTCAACGAAAATTGTTCGATGATAACAAGAATGAAATTGAATAATAAAAATTTCAGCAATAACAAAAGATAGGCAAGTTCGAGGACAAAATTTCCTGCTTGTTTCGATCTTTGATATACACAAATCAGAATAAGAACTCGACATAATGGATCAGATTGAACAATGCCAGGTGATAGACAAATATGAATCATTCTTCACTTTTCTCATCGAATTATAGCCAAGTAAATCAATCAATAAATCATATATGCTTCCTAATCAAAATAGTAATAAAGTAAGATTCTTATTTCACTTGCTATTGTATTTTTTTATTATCTATTTTCATAAGTTTTTTCTCTCTGTTGGCATTCATCGGTAAACAATTAAATTCTTAGGATCAAAAATTTTATATTAGCTTGGTACACAGATTAACTTATAGACGAACATTAGTCGTTAACTGTACCACCTTCTATTAACTTTGTTATCTTTTATATTTGTGCAAAGTTTATGTTATAATAGCAGCAAATATAAAAATAAATCAATGATCAACTACAATATCAAATAATAATGCAATTTTATTTCGATCAGATAATTTAATATGAATATGAGTTAATAAAATATATTAACTGTAGTATGATGAATTCTCATCAAATAATATTGTCTGATACGCCTTCTCTCATAAACATAGTCTTCAACTTTAGTAAAAACTAGCTTATTAAAGACAAGAAACACTTGAAATAATTAACTTGTCAACAGGAAATAAAATGAAAAACAATTCTGATCAGCTAATAAAAAGAGCTTTGTCTGACCGAATGTTTACCATTACCGATAACAATTCAAAAAGTAATAGATACCCACGATTATTTTCAATATTAAATATAAATTTTGAGTTGAAAGTAAAGAGAACAGACTTGAAGAACAAACATTTTCATTTATTCAAAAGTATTCTCCTGGCCAGATGGTAGCAGCTTTCTCATTTTCTGTTTCAAAAGCTGCTTTAATATTCTCAAATAAATCATCTGATAATCGAATATTTCGAATCATGATATCTTGATTTTCTTCAGAAATCAAATCATTATTGTCCCATTCCAGTGACTTTAAAGTCGCATATTGAGGAAGTGTGTGAAGAAGAAAGCTTTTGTGGCCATATCGTCGGCGAATTTCTGTAGCAGCCATACTAAGTAAGGTTATCTCGGAATCAGTATCGTGTGCTCTCCATTCGGATATGCACACTTTGGATTGTTTACCATCCGGTTGACTGATTACTACATATCCTTTTTTATTCGGTAACATGAAGATATAAGCGAAATCTTCTTTCCAATGCCAACCAATCCAATGTTCGAACATTAAAGGAGAATCGCGATCAAACTGATAAGAACGTGGATGAGCGGAATAGAGTTCGAGCAGTTGATCATAAAATGAAATGAATGATGCCGATATCCATGACATTTCATAATTGCAAGAAGATATTTTTTCAGGCATATTAATGACATATTGTATTCGAGTTGTAAGAAGTTGCCAGCCTAATGATAGATAATGATGCGAGCGTCCAGTTCCTAATACCGATATGTCGAAGGCTTCTTGTTCCATCTTCTTAATTGCTTGCTTAAGAAGTGTCCGCGACAAACCCTGATTTCTGAATTCTGCTAGAGTAGCTACATTTGAAACAACACCACACAAATATGTTTCATTGTTGGCTGATTTCAAAATCATCCGTCGAATGTGGACAACACTGACTAGCAGATTATCATCTGACCAAGCTCCCAAAGTGTCTCCTTCTTGATAGTGAGGTGAAGCTGTAGACAAAAAATATCGTTCAAAATAACCCTCACTTTTTGGTTTGAATGCTGTTTGCCAAAGTTTAAGTGCTTTTTCTTGTTCGCTGTTGACCACTGGACGATAAGTTATTGACAATGGAGATTCCCATAAAGTTTTCGATGACAACATTGTATTGCGCCAATTTAGACCAAGATTAGATTGCTCATATCTATATCAGATAAATAATATCATTTATTTTCTCTATTCAGTTCTTTATGCCCTTTAATATTAAAAGAAATACTGAACGTTGTAAACAGTCTCGCAGCACGTCGTCTCTTTTTTAGCAATTGCAACGTAGTTATGATGAAAAAATCTCAGTTGTGCGTAATTGCCATTTGTCTATCGTAACTATGATTTTTTTTCGTAACTGCACGTAAGTGCGTTGCAATTTGATGGTAATCAAAAATCGTCATTAGCTGATTATTAAACGTATAATAAAGAACTGGAAAAAGATCTATTGGTGTAACACATGGCCACTACTATATAGACATAAAATATTAGATATAGATGTCATGTGAGAACCAGAGATCTTAAAAGTTAACACGATGTAATAGTAATGAGCTGATTTTATCAGAAAGCAAATAGAAGCTATTCATTAAGAGAATATTTGATGAATATATAGATGCTGGCCAGAAATCCTTATAGACTGTGACAGAAATCGTTGATATAAGTTACGTTTATGAACGGTATATCAATAATGACCTATTACAATATATTAATTACTTCGTTATTGTGTTTTCGAGAGTCGAAGTAAAAGAAAGATGAAAAAATATGTTCCAAGATAGACAAAATAAAACAATCTCCATGTGATTAACAAAAATATCTACATCGTCTTTCACGTTTTAATCTATCAGAGATTATGTTAGCAGCATTTTAAGAAGAGATTTTTGAGACATCCGTAGTTTTTATTTTCTTAGTCAATAGTAAAGATTTAAAACTTCAGATCTATAGTTTCTTGACAAACTTTATGGCAGCTTGAAATTCTTTTTATAGTAAGAAATTAGATTTGCAACTGATAAAAAGGCTTCTTGTCAACTAAATATCTATAAAGAGAAAGTATTTATTGATTATTTAGTGATTTCATGCCATCTGAGTTACGAAACCACTGAAGTCAGTAATCTATTAGTCATATAAACAAATATTGATCAGCATTACAATCATTAGTAGGTGATGTACCTACCACTTGTAAATATTTTCGGCTGGTAATAATGTCGCTAGGAATACATCAGTCTCATCTCATACTGGCGGCTATTGAACCAGTTGGATGTCAAGTTGTCTGAGTATCATTTCGACTGAATACTTGTTCGATAGATTACCTGTTGAACAGATCATTTGTTTCTTTGGATACTACTCTGAAAAAGAAACATTGAAGTTTTGAAGAATTTCTTTATGGATTCTGCTATCGGGTAAAACGCAGGATTCTCGAAATGGCTCGGACTGAAATCGGGTTCGATAAGGAAATCTTTAAAGCATTTCTCATTTTCCGTAAAGATAGTACTGCTCTGCATTTAAAGTGTCACATTATTTTAATGGTTTATCACTATACGTTTCTCAGTTGTACCATTAGGCTCTGCACTTGAACGACAGTTCAATATTACAGTATCGTCTTCTATACCACTATCCTTGTACCCTTATATCTACACCCTTACTACTATAGGTTTATATCTATAACCTTATAATTACACTGCTATACTTATTACCTTATATCTATATCCCTGCGACTATGCCCTTATGTGCATACCAATATGTCTGTCGCCTTATGACTTAACGTGTATGCATATATCCTTATACTTGTGTCCTTATATACAGTGCTGGTCAAAAGTCCGGCACCACTTTTTTCTTTTGAGTCGTGTATATTAGAAGTATACAATATTAATTTATATTGTCTATATAGTAGAGGTCGAGTACTATCTATCTATATATATCTGTTTAACACGAAAAATCCTTAAATATAAAATACAACAAAAACAAACCAACTTCAATGCTATGAAAAAGATCGCATAAAAAACTACAAAATGATATTGTTGCTGTAATGAACTGTACCATCGTATCTATAGAACCACCGCTTCACTGTTTTATGTCCCCCCTTGATTTGAAAAATATTGGCAACAAAGCGAAAACTAACATTTGGTTGGTTTTGCAAATAATATTCAACTACACGTTGTTTAAATAAAGAATCACAATAGTTGGGTAAATTGTTCATATTAAAAAATTCAATAACAATCAACGAAAAAATAAGTTTATTCGACTTCTATGGATTTTCTTGTGCTTTGTATACGAATGAAATAAACAAAGCATAGATCGTTATTCAATATCGAATGATAATTGAATTTTTAGTGAATTTAAGCGATTAGTGTCGATAGACAGTGTCGTAATTATAATTCGGTTATTTCTATTGAAACAAGCAATGAATGACTGTTAATGACCTATTAGTAAATGACATTTTATCACCTCTAACACGTTTAGTTTAGAGTGACTGCATTCGATTTGATCACAGATTTATTTAAATCCGAAAACAAAAAAATTTATTTGAAACGAATAAAACTCACTACGTCGAGATATAAATTCAATTGAGTGAAAGGCTCTTTTTCTCTTTAAGTATTCAACTGGCAGATTAGGAACCTGCTAGGCAATAGTAGATCTTGGAAACACTTTCTTTTCATAGTGATTCGATTAATTCTTCACGCTCAATTTGTGTGCTAAAATAACTCAAATTTATAACAACAATATCATTTGGTAGTTTTTTATGCGATTTTTTTCATAGCATTAAAGTTGATTTGTTTTTGTTGTATTGTATATGTCGTAGGACAGATTGAAATTCAGTTCAGATTAAAATATCTTTGATCTGAACTAGTTCAGTTTAAAATCTTCCTAGTTGAGATCAAAATTATTTTAAAGTGAACTAGGAAGATTTTAAACTGAACTAGTTCAGATCAAAATATTTTAATCTGAACTGAATTTCAATCTGTCCTACGACATATATTTAAGGATTTTTCGTATTAAACAGATATATATATATATATAGTATAGTTGTCGATGTGCTTACATGATAATAATCACCTAGATATCCGATTTTTCGGTTTCTCATTTAATATAGTTGTAATATCTTGTAAATTATTAAAGAAAGCAAAAATTTAATTAGTTCATTATGAGTATAAAGAAGTATAAGGCAATCAGTTTTTAGTATTTATCTGCCTGTTACTAACTTACAAAGCAACAAAATGGTCATAGATTTTTCACTTTCACTTTGAAACAATATAGCATAAGATATTAAGCATTTAACAATCACTTGAAGACGATCTGGATTATCAAAAAGTCTAGTCTCATCAATGCTCTAAATGAAGATACTTCTATCAAATGGTTGTAGCTGGTTAAAATGTCATGAAGATGTTCGAACCCTTTTGTTAAGTACAAATTGAAGCAGTAAATCAGATATAGATAGTATTTTCTCTTTGACGATAAATAAGGTAAACTATTCCTTAAAAATAGAGCAAACTAATTCTTGCCAAAACTTCATTTAAATATGTTTCGAGTCTTTTTTTTTCTCATCGTTTATTTAAAGAAAAGCAAACAGAATCCATTAATTACTTCTTTTGTGCATGATTGAGAGTGGAGACACTTAAGTTTTATGAAAGATGCAGTTTTCAATCTATGCCACCATTTTGGCACAAATGACTACAACCACTCAATTAAACGATCATTCGACAACCCACTTTTTACCAAACTCAATCATACAAGTTCGAATCAGTGACTGTCTCTATTCTTGAAGTGATTTGACATGCATATACCAAAAACTATTCTCCACTACTTGACAATGTCGCAGGATTAGATCTGTGAAAGTTCGCGATCGAGGAGTTGGAACTGATAACGAGTTGTAGAACTGTGATAGCTTCTACTTTTATGAACGTGTTCTGTTTTGGGAATTGAAAACAGTGATCAGTTTTTTTTCCGAACAAATGGAACAAGTAGTGAATTGATTTGCTGCATTACCATTATCAGTGCACCAACTTCATATGAAAAGAACTGACCACTAGACCTTATTCTTAAGAATAAATCGGTTCATAAAACTGTGAACTGTTAAAGGCCTAGCTATGATGTCTTGAAAGTCTCAAGTAATAAGTTTCTTTGCAAATCAATTTTTTTTTCTTTTCGAGATCTTCCGGTGATAATCTTTTTCTAAGAATTGTATATCTCGACATCAATAAAATACATATTCTTTCAGATTATTTTTTCATGAGAAAAACTTCAGGTCGAAGTTGTAACATGATTGTTCTCTCGTGAGATTATCAATCGATCTAGCAAGTCCTCATAGCAAAACTTTAATTAATTTAAATTAAGTTTATCGTACATTTTCATAAATTTCAATATAAATTATAATTAAAACAATGTACAACAAAATAACAATAACTGAAGTCTAAATTTTGTCGTCACTTGTAATTGATTTTTGCAGCCAATGATAATCAATATTATCAATTCGATTAGGATTAAGGACAGATTTTCAAATTGAAATAAAACTTAATAAGTTTTATTTTTCACTCTGATAAAGTGAATGAAAGTTATTCTTATCAAGAATACAATAATGATTGTTTTCAAAAACGTTTTTATTCGGCATCATTGCACAGAAATATTCTCATCGAGGTTGTCTTGAATATAGCCGAGCATGACATGTGAACATAAACTGACGACCAATAGTAACGTGTTCCATCATAGTACTATTATATAATAGAACACTTTTCGTCGTATTCATAGAAAAATTTATATATAAAACAGTATTTATATAATCATCATGTGAAAAGATAATTAAGACATTTTCAAACTGTCATGAGAAAACGAAACAAATTTATTTATTCATCTATAAAAACAAAATTTTTATCTTGTGAAGTTATTGAAAAAAAAAACTCATGGTTCGATTGATACACATCATGATAAATCTTGATGAAATATCATCTTACACATACAGGTAATAATTTAGAATTAAGAGCTACACAAAATAACATTTGATATTGTCATTAATCGAAATGAATATTTAAATAGTTGACTAGTCAATCGAGAGTAAAACAAATTGAAATGACAAGTCTTATTTATGGAATATGCCAATTGTCTTTGATAAAACTCATGTTTTGATATAAACCAGTTGCCTATTGTATCATGTTTAGTTTATTTTATAGAATAGAATTATATATGAAAACAATAAAGTAACAATCAAATAAAAATGATAATTAAAATAGAAATCAACTATTGAAGATATATTAAAAAAAATAAAAAATCAAAGCGAGAATAAACGAGTATAACAATATGAAGATCAACAAGATTTTGGTTTTATTTGAGAATGTTAAAATGAATCATAATGATGAAATTCATAAGAATATTTAAGGACAAATATTCGACCACCAATCACATCGATTTAAAAATGAATTGAATTTTGTTTGTAATGGACATTTCATTGAAAAAGAAATATTATTTGAACATAATATAAATTGTCTACAATCAGATAAATCAGGAAATATTCCATTCGATTTTCGACATTGAAATACTATGAAAAGAAATTAAAAGACTGATTTTATTTCGATAATTCTTAATCGTATATATGATTACCTTTATCTGATTGTCTTAATAATGATTCTTGACTTTTGTCTATAGGTTTTATCAACAAATTGAACTTGAATTCCGAAGAACAATCCTATTTCGATTATATTAAAACATATTAGACATTTTTTTAAAATATTCTTTAATAGAATTTAATAATATTTAGATAAAAATATCTCATTTTTTATTGATAATTTAAAAAAATTTCTTTTTATTTAATAATGACAGAGAGACATTATTCGATTATTTATATATCATTGTTTGACGATTAATTTTAACAGAAAGAATAATATTTTGTGTCAATGCGAAATAGAATAAAGCAGAAAAAAACATCGAGTAGTTTTTATCAATAATTGTATTTAAAATTCTAATTTGTATCTTAATCGAGTAAACTCTTATTGATTTAAATTAATCTATGAAAATTAAAAATATTTACTTGATATTTTTGTAACATAATTAAAAAAAGACAAAGTCAAAATTGAGTTAAAAATTCTAAATATATCCGCCTGGCAAAAAATAGTTGCACACAGTATTTTTAACAAATCATTACTATAAGTTAACTTTTTGAAAAAAATAATTATATATTCAGATAGCCCGCGGAATTCTCTACAACTCTATTTATAAACATTTTGAATTTCACTTATCTGCTAAAAATAAATTCATGCACAATAAAGGCATCCTCATGTTCAGATTTATCGAAAATGCATTTTTTGCTCCTTTTTCGTTCATATTTTAAAGTTTATTTTGAATATAGGAACAAGTTATTATAAAAGTAAGTATATATTCTGAAAGCGCATGAAATTCTCTATTACCTTGTACTTCTATCAGTCTTGGTTTGCAGGTATTTGATGATAAATACTTCGAGTATTGTTAATTTATCCTAATTATGAGGCTCACACTCTCGATTACTTCACATGAACTGATACAGCATCCCATGGATGATGATCCAGTAGCCGAATAAGATGTATGGATAATTGTCCACTTGTTAGCCCTGATCGTAGTGTTACTACGAATGGTTGGTCTATGATAAACCACTTTGCACAGAAATATGGTCTAAATTTTCAACAATACCTCGCCGGGAACGTGATGTGTTGAGGCATTAACAATACTCGAAGTATTTATCATCAAATACCTGCAAACTAAGACTGATAGAAGTACAAGGTAATAGAGAATTTCATGCGCTTTCAGAATATATACTTACTTTTATAATAACTTGTTCCTATATTCAAAATAAACTTTAAAATATGAACAAAAAAGGAGCAAAAACTGCATTTTCGGGAAATCTGAACATGAGGATGCCTTTATTGTGCATGAATTTATTTTTAGCAGATAAGTGCAATTCAAAATGTTTATAAATAGAGTTGTAGAAAATTCCGCGGGTTATCTGAACATATAATTATTTTTCTCAAAAAGTTAACTTATAGTAATGATTTGTTAAAAATACTGTGTGCAACTATTTTTTGCCAGGCGGATATATATATATTAAACTTACAGAATATTGATGTGTACATGTTTTTTCTTTTATTGAAAAAAACATATATTGAGGACATTGTAAACGTGAAATAGGTTTACTATTATTGGGTTGACATACATAATAATAACGACAATCAGTCTTATCCTCAATTAATTCATTTGTTTTAACGCCTAAACATAAATTATTTAGCATAATTGAACTGGTTATTGTTGTTTCAGATTGACTATTCAACATTTTTGTTTCTAAAGATGATTTCGATTGTGAAAATATTCGAGATACAACTGAAGTTATTGGATATGCACCACGATTACATGATAAACCGATAAGGGATACAAAATGTGAGT